GTTATGCACAAACAATGAATCATGGAACACTTCATCTAAAACTAATGATGTAATGTATGGGGATTAACATAAGAATAAAAAAAAAAGATGTTTTAAACCAAAGTTCATCAAATTTATTTAAACCATGGAAAGACTTTCACATAAGTCGTACATTTACAGCCCTGTGAATCAAAGCTGCTCATGTTGAAAGTGAATGTGATTGCCTGTACTAGTAAATGTAGTTTGATATAGGAATAATTGGCTACAACATATTTCAATATGCTTTCTAGTTTTTTTCCTGTCTTAACTCATGTTAGAATAATATCTATATATTCATTCATCCATTCAGCAAGAAATTATGAATTAGAAACAAATATGACTAAGACTCAATTTTGCTTTTAAAAGGTTCATGTTAACTAGTGAAAACTGAAGTAAATAAATAATCACCAGGCATGGCAAATGTTATAATAAGGGTTTGTACATAGAGCCATGAACTAATTACATGAACTAATTATACGAACATGCTCTGAGATGCTAGTGCTATAGATACAATTTTCCAAGTTGTCAACATCAATACTTTTTTCTGGGCTCACATGGCTCCTGCTTGCCTACTCCTTTTGCTTGGTGGGATCAATGATAGCAACAACCTAATCCACCCCCCCCCCCACTTTGAACAATCTTAAAGACTAAGTAACTGAGAGGACATAGTAAAGGGGTTTTCCGTGGGTATATTTCACAAGGATACTGTGTACTTTTTGTAAGAGTCAGTTTCTGTCTACCACCAGAAATTCCACTGCATTCCTTTTGTCTGTCATAATTACTGTTGCATACCTGTAATTCTAGAGTCTAGAATTTAGCACTTTGGAGGTACTAAATAAATATGTGTTGAATCAGTCACTTTGGCATGCTTAGTTTTTAGTACTCACGGTACCAGTGATGTCTACTCCTGAGCCCACCACCTTTACACTTCAAGTGCTCTGTTTCACAAAATTCCAGCTTTATCCACAGCACCATGGAAGAAAGGTAAACTCTCCAAACATGTATCTTAGAGTTAACAACTATAAAAACCACATCACTTTTATTCTAATCTAGAAAGGTGGGTAGAACCCGTTAGAAATATCTCACAAGATCCTTCTCCACTGCACTCAGAAAAAGTAAGTCCCTAAGTTCAATAGTCTTGCAAAAAAACAAAAAACAAACAAACAAAAAACCTTATTTTTGATTGTTTAAGCTCTGCCAAAGCACTAAGCCTGAAATACCATTTTCTAGGACCTAAATTTGATTCTGACACTTTTAGTTAAATTGACCACATCCTCATCTTCCCAGTTTGTTTCCTTGTTACCAACTACTTGTGATTTATCCTGCCTGCCCACCCCTACCTTGCATTTAGTTCCATTTGGTAAAGATGCCATAGTAAATCCCTCAAAAATTTAACTGTATGCCAAGTTTCACTAGGTGATTCCACCTTCTGCTAGTTTTTCAGCTGGCCACACTCTCCTATGTCTAACATTGCACCTTGAGATGTGTTCAAATCTTATATTTGGATGTCTAGAGTGGATTTTCACTGTGAGTGAGTCTCATTATCAGAAACCATACTATATGAAAACCATATTGTATGAAACCATACTATATGCTTGAAACCATACTATATGCAAAATAATATGGGGAAAAATGTGTTCATTTGTTTTATATATTTGAGAATACATTTGTTGGGGATGAATATCCACTTTTTACCATTCCATGGAGTAGTTTCTTGAAAATGAAATGCCTTTTATTTCAATAGAATAAAGTGCAAAGGTAGATGTTCGGAGAAACTAGGTACATGGAGAAAAATCACTGCAGCTCTTGGTGCTCACAGCTAGTCTAGTAGACAGTGTTATAAAAACTGATTTATAAAACCTAAATGAGATACAAACAATTTTCAGTTAGTTGGTGTTTATGGTGTCTCAGATAGCAGGTGATGAAGCATGGAAATTGCTTCAAAGAATATTTGCAACATTAACCTACTGTTTTCTTGAGTGATTCCTGAGGAGATAATTTTTCTAGTTCCTATTTTTAACAAGGGGATAGCATGGTAAACAGAACCAGTTCTATGTGTTGTGTGTTTTCCTTATTCATGATACATTAAAAAAATAATGTAAAAAGATTTCAGATCCATCTTGGGGGGAAAAAAAAGCATTTTGTTGTCTTAGTGTACTTGCTTTCCCTGTGCCTAAGTCTGGGAATTAAGTTGTCTTGGATAATAATAAGCTTAAATGAAGGAAATGTAATTCTGATTCTCAGACTTCAAATGGCTATCACTAGTTTTTTTTGAAAAGTGGCTTAAGGAACTAGATTTGATAACAATTGCATCCACATGGGGCACCTGGTTGGCTCACTTGTTAAGCATCTGTCTTAGGCTCAGGTCATGATCCTGGGGTCCTGGGATCGAGCCCCACATTGCAGGGAGCCTGCTTCTCCCTCTTCCACTCTCCCTGCTTGTGTTCCCTCTCTTGCTGTTTCTCTCTCTGTCAAATAAATAAATAAAATCTTTAAAAAAAACTTGTATCAACAAAAGGAACTTTCATCAGAGTGGGGTACATATTTGTTCATCTTGTCACTTACATAAGGCTCACTGTGGGCCAGGCCCTGCTCTATTATATACACCAATTCATTCTATATTATAACAGCCTTAGGAGGTACATGCACTTATCATCATCTCCATTTTATAGAAAGAATACTAAAGCACAGAGTTGTTAAACACTCTTCTCCTGGTCACACAGCTAAGTAAATGACAGAGCCAGGGTTGCACCCCAGCAATCTAGCTCCATAGTCTGTGCCCTTAACATTATTTGATACTTTTCTTCATGTGGCCTAATGAAAGGTAAAAAATGAAATATTTCACTATATGACAAATATGGAGATAAGTCACAAAGAAAGAGAGCTTCAGCAACCTGACCAAAATGAAGCTTGCACAGACATCTCCTTGTGAAATAACCAGTGTTCCCCTTATCAAAGATTAATATGTTGATTTGCACCATGACTGACGACTAGTTACCCAGAGAACAGATCTTCCCTACAAAGTCTATCTATCTCAACCAGCTGGCAAAAACCATGCAGTGATTAAAACTTCCATTCTGATTTCAGCCAAACTGGGTTTCGGAACCTAACTTTTTCTTTGACTATCATTGGGCAAATTACTTAATCCCATAAACATTTAATACTCACCAGAACCTAAATAATAAGGTACTACACTTATCTCTATTTACAATGACAAAACTGATGAAGAAAGTTTTATTAACCTGCCCAAGTTCAAACAGCAATGGGGGCACAGTCAGGTTTACTATCCTGACAGAGTATAGGCTCATTGAGTCAGTCTAAGAATTAAATGAGGAACACCTTTTCTGATATCCTTCCTTTGTTATGTTTCAGAAATGTCTGTAGCTGTCCCTCTGAGCACTTACAACGTTTATGTACTATTTTATTTGGTTTAAAGAGATGTGATAAAACTTTTGATCTTCCACTATGATCTAAAATGCTCAAACAGGGGCACGTGGGTGGCTTAGTTGGTTGAGCAACTGACTCTTAGTTTCAGGTCCGGTCATGGACTCAGAGTCCTGAGATCGAGCCCAGAGCCTGAATAAGATTCTCTTTCTCCCTCTGCCCCTCCCCACCCCCAACCTCCCACTCACATATTCTCTCAATAGAAAAAAAGAAAGAAAGA